AACATTGGTATTATTAGAATGCTTAGTTGTTAAATACATGCATTGGTTATGTTTGATTTACAGTTGTTATGCTGTTGAAATATCTACATACATAACCTCAGCCGTTTTTGTTTTGGTGAACCATAGGAGCGATTTCAATCGCTTAGGGGTGAGTCACAATCTAGTACCGACAGCCCTCTCCCTGATGAGGCATCTCTTTGGGAGCAAAGTGTCGGAGGACGGAGGAAAGGCCGAATATTTGGTTTCGGGACCACCCAAGACCCCTCTTATGCTATGACGGGTAGATGTAGCAATAGCGGGTCATCATACGAGTCAAGAGCGGAGGTACGTTGGTTATATTGTTATAAACTTTCTCTTTACTAAAATTGCGAACAAATTACTGATTTCGAAGAATATTGAATACAGGTAACGGAGTTGAGAGATAAGTTGTCAAGGGTAGAAGAGGAACTCGAGACCGAATGGAAGAATATGGCAGATTTGGAGGCCAGACAAGCTGCTGCATTAGCCCAACAGGCCGCATTATCGGAGCATTTTGCTGCGTTTATGCGGTAGTCAGGATACGTTTTCCCACCTCCCCCAGATCCCGATAGTTAGATTGTATGTATTCGAAGATTAAATTGTATGAATTGAATATTTTAAATTGTATGAATCYATATTTTAAAKCRTATSAATTGGTTACTTTTGTTCACAGATTTGGTTTGTTATATATTATTATTTTCAGGTTTTTTAAATATAAATACAGGATTTATGTATTTAAAAAAAATTTATTTCTTAATTTTTTACAAATTAGCGACGGATTAGCGAGGGAAAATCCGTCAATGAAAGTGCTTGAAATTCCCTCGCAAATCCGTCGCTGAAAGTTCCGTCGCTGAAAGTTCCCTCGCAAATCCATCGCTAAATACTTCCCTCGCTGATCCGTCGTTGAAAGTGTCCGTCGCAGATCCGTCGCTGATAGCATTACCTACGACTGTTTGACCGACGGAGTATCAGTGACGGATCAGCGACGGAAAGACCTTTCAGCGACGGATCAGCGAGGGAATTTTCCCTCGCTGATACTCTGCATTTTTGTAGTGAAACTAACAGATATTTTTCATGGGGTTTGATCGGGGATCGGTTCGAGGACGGGATGTTAATTCCCGTACCCGTCGAGGACCAGGTCCGGGGGCTATTATTAAAAACAGTGGTCGGGATCGGGGATTACAAAACCCGCCCCATTCTCACCTTGTTGCCATGCCTACCTGCCATAAACCATAACACTTAGGATCTGACCTTGCCGACATGACATGTCACGCCACACCTCATAGTATTTAGAACTTTGAAGGAAAACTAAAACTAAACTTTAGTTACATTTTTAATTCAAATTTATGAAAAACAAATAAGTGGATAAGTAGATTGACCATGAACCCTAATTTCTTGTATATAACCCACATTACTTTCACTTTCTTCCCCCCTTCATCCACCTCACTCCATTCCTCCATTACTTTCCTTTTCCACCTCCCATTTTCAAAGACATAATGATGATTTCGAACTTTTCTTTCTTTTTAATTTGAAACCAACCATCCCCACATCATTCATCAATCACTCCCTACAAATTATATCAAAAAAAAAAAACAACCACAATGATTCTTGTTTCTCTCATGTTCATTCACATCACCATTATTCTCGCTTCAGGTTCACCGGCCGGAAAGATTTCCACCAGAACAATGGACGTCACCAAACCCATAACAACAGTTCCGACCATAACTCCGGCGACCACCACCAATAACCCAATTGCACAACCCACAACCACCACAACAACCCCATCATCATCATCATCATCATCATCTTCTCCAGGTCGAAGCTGGTGTGTTGCAAGCCAGTCTGCTTCTCAGACTGCATTACAAGTTGCTTTGGATTATGCTTGTGGCTACGGCGGCGCTGACTGCTCGGACATTCAACAGGGCGGTGGTTGTTATAATCCCGACACCCTTCGCCACCATGCTTCTTATGCATTCAACAGTTATTATCAGAAGAATCCGATCCCCAGTAGCTGCAAATTTGGTGGCACTGCCATTACAACCAGCACAGATCCAAGTTAGTAGTCTTCTTCTTTTCAGTTGATGGATTAAAAAACACCAAGATTTCAAATTTTTGAGATGAACGTGGGTTTGCAACACATGATCTCCGACCAAAGAGCGGCTAAAATGGCTTAACTTTAACCAAAAAGCATCAGCTTGACGTTTTAATCCCACTAGGTGCAATCAACTTTTAAAACTATGCTGGTTAATTGTTATGATTAAAAAACCCTAGAATTTTACCAAAAACAAGACATATGAAGGGGTTGTTTACCACACGTTTATCTGGATAGTGCTTACCTGTACAATTTAATACTAGCACTTACTTATCGGCTAAGATTTTAATCCACAAAAACGGTGTTGTATGCAACAATTTACCTGGTAAGCGCTAACCATGGTAAGCGACGACGACTCTCACTTACCGGGTAAAACTCATCCTTGTTTTCGTTCTTACCTGGTAAGATTCTTGGTCCTTGGCATATGTATCCAGTAAGTTAATGTGACTTGAAAATCGTTTAACTAAGTGTCTAATAAACGACCCAAAATCATAGAAAATTGTTGATTGTTTTCATAAGAATTTTATCTATTTTTTTCTAACATCTATAATTATTAATATATTTATAGATAAATATTTAGTATTTAATTTGAAATATATCTAAAACTTATAAATTGTTATTTCACACTGACTTTATAAGGTAAGAAATAAGGTTTTTTTATAAGAAGTCAAAGGGTGAGGTTATTAGAGCATCTGTAAGAACTTTTTTTATAATTTTTTTGAAATAGAGAACCAAAAACATAAACTTTCAAAAAGTATTATATTTATCTTCAACATATTCTATATTTTAAAGATTTTAACATAAATTATATTGTTATAATATTAACTAATTTATCATCTTAATACACTTTTTAAAACTTTTTATAAAAAATAATAACTCAATCTGATTGGTGGAATAAAATAAAATAAAATAATCATTTATCTCTCTCCCATCAAGTTCTAGAGAATTCACTATATTTAGAGTTTTCTCCATGATTCTCTATTTTATAAAAAAAAAATTGCAAAGCTGTTGGAATTTTAAAGAACCAAAACTCATTTTTTTCCCCCTATTTTAGATAAGTTGATGGAGATACTCTTATGAGAACTCTCAATAATGTTGATTACCGTAAGAAGCTATATTTTTTTTTGCTTATAATAACCTACTTCCTATATCTTTTCTTACTATATCACTTCCAATTCATATAAATTAAGAACTCATATAAAAGTCCACAATAGTATTTTATAAGAATCTCTTTTGTGGGTCTCATGTATTTTTTTCAACATCAGTAAATAATATATAAAATAAACTAACAAAATGTTACTTCACACCAAGTGTAAGGTAAGAATAAATAGTTTTTCTACAAAAAAAAAAAAAAAAGGATGCGAGATTATTATAAAAACTCTCTTCGATAGTGGTTTTATTAAAAACCTACAATTTTCACTTATAAAAATCTCTTATTGTAGATGCCCTAAATTGAAGAAACGGTTCAACTTGAATGGTATATTAGCTAAACAAACCCTATAATTTAATGTTAATATCTAAAAAATATAAAAGAGTGTTTGATAAATTATTAATCGTGTATGATAAAAACTAGTTGGTAACATAAATTACAATATAAATTATCCAAACAAAAAAGGTTATTGATTATTTATATAACACATAATTGAATTAATTAAAAATATTAATTGAAAAAATGGAGGTTATCGAAACATTTAGATATTTATAATTATCATAAACAAATTATATGTCTAACAACAAATCATCATAGAGTAACTTATTAATTTGGTCTATGTGGTTACATTTTTTGTGGTTATAGTTTTCAAATTACAAAATAATCATTATTGTTTGTAAAAACATTCGAATTTGGTCTATCTTTAACTGCTCTTAAAAAACTCTGTTAAATGAGGGGGATTTCCGTTCTTTTATCGATTTTTTTTGTCTTTTACCCAATCAAAATTGTTTTTATGATTTGGTCCTTATGCTATTTAATTGTGTAAAAAATAAAGAAAAATAAATACATATTCAAGATAATTACATATATATTGTTTATGAAATTTAGAGATTTGGGAAAATTTTGATGTTAAACTCCACTCTAAATATAAAGAAACATAAATAGATAATGAAGAAATCTTGAAATTTCCAAATACCTAAGAGACTTTTATAAAAATGCCATTTTTGTCCTCTTAATAAATAATTAATTTATTTCCATTATTTCATTTATATGTTTGTACTTCAAATTTGTGCAGGTTCAAGTTCATGTCAATTTCCAGCAACAAGGTGAGCTATCAATATAAGGTTTTATCAGTTTAACTACCTTTATACACACACACATATATAAATAAAGGCATAAATAAATCTTTTTATTTTTATTACATGATTAAAAAATATGTATATAATAATATTTTTATTTATTTACCATTGCAGCACAAGCTCATCTATCTTAAATACCACAAATTCAAAAGGAGCTACGGTTTTTGGCTCAGGACCCTCTGTCCCCTCTAGCACCGCATCTCCCATCATCTTTTCTTACACAACCATTTCTCTTTTTTTTGTCATCTGTATCTTTTATATATTTATTGTGTTTTAAGACATGTATTTAACATGTTTATTATGCATATATAATTTTATATGTAGATTATTTGAAGTGTAGGATTTATTTTCAAGTTCAAATATAAATATTGTACGTTTGCATAAAAGGACTTATTCAGATGATCTTCATAATGCAAACACACGAGATTGAAAGAGGGATGAAGCATGGAAATGTTAGATTTGTTAGAATTTTACTATGGATGTTTGATGATAAGTTATTGAAGATGGGTGAAGATCGGTCTAGTGATTAACATCGATTTGTTTAGTGTTTTAGGTTATATTTCTAAACTGACGGATATGTTAATTGTTTTCTAGAACTAGCCGTTGGCTAATAAACTAGACATGTTTGATAAAAACTAGGTGATAAGTTTTTGGAAAGCTTAAGATGTTCACTACAAATCTATTTGACCCCAAATAACCTAATAATGGTTTCAAGTGTTCAAAAATCGAGGTTTTTTTTTAAACTCGTTGGAAATTCGACAACAACAACGCACTAATTTTACAAAACTCTTTGAAAATCGATCATAACTCCAATTTAGATGGTTCTTGAACTTTTAGAATCAAAATAGATTTGTACAAATTAATGTTGCATTTATGCTTTATTCTAAGATTTAATGGAGATATGAAAAATCTTTGGAATTTTGTAGCATATCCAAATTTGGAAAATCTTGTTTTGGTCCAATCAACTCATGGGCGGACCTATGAAGGGTTGAGCGGAGTCCCGTGCATCCGCTCAACTGATTGCCACAAGTAAAATTTTATTTTGGGTATAAAATGTGCACTCTCTAAACTTTGAGGGATGCTCCGAGATATTAGAAAATACAAAGAACATCAATTAAAAAACCAAAAAGAGTCCCTCCAAAACAACCAAAAACCCGGAAAAGCACATCGAAATCAATAAAAAAATACTTAAAGAATCACTCGAAATGATGGAACTAGCCTATAATCCACCTTAAAAGTGCATTTGTTCGGCAAAATCTTTGGTCCATCACTGAATCAACTTGAAACATGTTTCGATGCATAGTTAGGAGTGTAGGTATGAATGCAAGGGTTAGTAATTGACCTTATGGGCTGCTATAATATGTAGGTTCTCTCAAAGGTAACATAGTTAATCACATATCAGATAGCTTACCCTACATTATCAAGCTAGTTTTCACATGATTTAGGATGCATTCATACATAAACTCTTATGTTAGTTTGGAGCATGCTTTATTTGGTGAAAGGTATTATTGTTATGCATGCTACTAGTTGGAGTTTTTATACATGCTATTGCTTTTCTATGATATGTATGGGTGTTGTTGATGCTTTGCATGCTATGTCTTTTGTTTTTATTTTATTTTAAAGTTGATGAATAGCATGCATGTAAATAAGGAGTCGTTTACCAAATAATTACCCGGTAAGTGTTTACTGGTAAAATTTAACACTATTATTACTTACCGAGTTAAATTTAGTCCACCAAAACGACATCTGTTGGTTCCAGCCGGGTCTACAAGAGTTTAGAGGCGAATAGTTTGTAGAAGGGGGGGATGAATACAAACACAAAAAACTTTCATTTAAAAAAAATATTGATATAGAAGGATCAATACAGATTTTTACAGATTGTTTGCGGAAATAGAAAAGGTAAAGATAACCTATCTAAAACAATCTAAGATTACACACAAATATACTTAGCAAAATATAAGAAATTTGTCTAATAAGAAAAAGACAGAAAGATGTTCTTTTTTGGGTAAGAACTTTAGAATTAGAGAAGAATTCTAACTTGCTTGAAGATAAGCGTATGTTTTTTTTTTGTAGATGTAGTGCATGAGGAGAACACTCAGCTATTGATACCCATTGCATTAAATGCAGTTCAGAAGGGTTAGAACACGCGTCAAGCTTTTAGAGGAAAACTTGTCCTTTGCAATAGTGAATAGTACTATTGTCTATTCATGAGCAGACATCCTTTCATGGATTTGGTGGGCACTGGAGTCGACTAGTCGGCTTCGTGCACTACTATACTCTTGAAAGGGTATGAGTTTTTCCTTTGTGTTTGGACAGACAAGACAAAAACAATCGTGCATGGCAAGCTTCATTTGATCGTTGAATGCTGGAATAACGCTAGAGGTCTCTTTAGCATTCACTGAGGCTTGTGTAGTCTTCACATGTATGTTGACCAGGTTGTAATCACTGAATACCGTTTCAGATCACGAATACGCCAGTCACTAATCTTCTTTTTCAGTCTTCGACATTCACCGAAGGTTCTTGGGTGTGAGTTTTATCTTCTTGAAGTATCGTTGTCGCTGTAAGATTATAATGCATGTTTCAGCGATCACTTAACAAATCAGTGATGATCGCTGGAACTGAAAAGACAGAAACATAATACTTCGAAAGGTAAAAGGGATTATCATCAAATCAATGAGAGAGGGGATCAACAATCATCCCCTATTTGATGATGACAAAGCAACATAAAGAAAATTGCCTTAAGGTTTAATAGTAAGGAAAAATTACATATAAAGTACATGTCACTTTTAACTATTTTGGGATCTTTTTCAGTGATGTAGTTTTTACTATATAAGTTTTTTTAGACCCCATAATTAATAAGTGTAAAAGTAATGAAGAACGATAAGTGATGAAGAACCAGAAGACCGATGAAGACAATAAGGCAGAATTGACCAAGTTTGAAGAACAACCAGAGGATCGATGAACAAACAGAGATGCGATGGAAAGAACATCTTCATCACCCCTCTGGTCAACAACACTTAGAGTTTTCTTCAGCAATTCAACCAGAGGCATACGATGAAGATATAAAGATAAGGTTGAAATATCATCCCATGAAAGACAGTTGGAGATGACAAGTCGACAGCTGGATTTCAAGTTTATCTTAAAATTATAGCTTATCCATAGTTTAGATAAACATTATCTGTTAATAGAAGATTAGCTAAATAGTCTCACTAGATAGTTATTTTCTAATTAGCTTGCTAGTATAAATAGGTGATTAGGCCTATTGTATTAAATGTCGCTTTTACGTTTTTCTTATTAATAAAGTGAAACCTTTGACACTCAAGATTGTTCTTTAATGTTCATAATTTATTCTTGAGTGTCCATCACTTTGTTCATAAAAACACTATAATTTGGTTATTTTTAACTCGATTATTAGTGTTATTGAGAGATCTGAGATCAACAATTGGTATCAGAGCCAATTGATTGTTTTTCCAATCAAGCGATCATCCAAAATCTCTCAATTTTTGTTTTTCTCTTTCTCACCAAAACGTAAAATCTCTCTCTTCTAAAAATTTTCAATGGCCAACTGGAATTCTGCGTATAGTGTTGGCTCCCTCACCAAGCCTCCAACTCTTCAACGAGAAGAATACTCGTAATGGAAGATAAGAATGGTGAATTTCTTGGAAGGAATGGACAGGAACCTCCTGCGATCTGTAATGGAGGGTCCTTACGTTCCACAAACTCTTGTCCCAAGAGTCTCAGGAACAAATACCACAGCTGAAATTCCTACTTACTACATGCCCAAGGATGAGAAGAATTGGGATGAAGACGACATAGAACAGGTAGAGACCGACAAGAAGGCCAAACGACTGATAATCATGGCTATACCCAATGAAATCTTCCAATCCCTAGATGCATGTTCCACAGCCAAGGAACTATGGGATAACTGGCAAGCCAACTAGAAGGAGGGGTAAAAACAAAGAAAAATCGTAGAGCACAATGTCTCAACGAATACACAAACTTCAAGGCCCWTCYTKATGAACCGATTYAGAAGACATACGATCGTTTCAACACATTGATTAATCAATGTCGTCGAAACGATATCTTCAGAACTAAGGAAGAAAACAATGTTTTTGTGGAGTCCATTTATCACTGATCAATCTTCATTTAAGTTCATAACTATGGCAGATTTGATGTAAATCTTCAAGAACACATAAGAACATTCATATGAATATTGAGAGGAAAAGTCAAACTTGCAAAGCTCAGTCAAACCTCTATTATACGTAAGATTATTACAAAAGAGCTCTCTTCATTTTCAAAATACAAAGACTACTCCCTATTTATATGGTCAACCTATCTAAACAATAGTCAAAGTCAAACTTCTATGAGAAAGTCAAACACGCTGACTTTTACAATTATAGACTATATTTAACTTTCAAGACGAATACAATTAATACTGATTTTTCAGTCCTAACATTCTCCCCCTTTGTATTTAGACTTGAAAGAAAAATCTGCGCTTTGAGTCCTTGTTTGAACTTTGAAACATTAAGCACAAAAATGTATTCTTCAAATGAAATCTTCAACTTGTAATCTTCAAGCGATCAACTGTTGAGAAAGATTTTCTAGCATTCTCCCCCTCGAATGCAGAATCACAGTGATCTTCTCTTTTGACAATGTAGATCAAAAACATTCTTCAAAAACACTATACAAGATGTGATCTTCAAAGGATCTTCAGAATTAAACTTCAGTAAACTATTGTGAAAATGATCTTCACATTCAATATCTCTCAGTCGTTATAGCACACAAATAATCTTTCTGCGATTATCTTTAGTCGCACTTCTTTTGAGTCTTTTGCCAACACTGAAGTTACTCCCCCTTGATCTTTGCATCAAAT